ACTTTCTTTGAGGTGGCCAGACAGATGAGATGGAGTATTTATAATCATCCTTGCAATTATAATTATTATTTGGAATTGAGAACAATGCACAATATTCAAGACCAATATATTAATAAAATCAAAACAGAAATTACTACATAGATTTTGACAAAGTAAAGGGGTGGTAGATTCATAGAAAGAAAGAGAAAGAGTGCTACTTTATTAAAATACTGGGTTTATTTCACATGTATATTTTTGTTTTCCCACCATTTCCACTACTACTACTTTGTCTTATCATAACATTCCATACATACTTAAAACCAAAGCAAAGGGTGGAGTTCCATCTTTAAGAACTAAACAGGCATTTTGGACAACACATTCTTGGCAAAGAAACCTGGACAACATTTATCAGACACGGTGGGAAATTTCTCACTCAGCATTATAAAAAAGGACAGCCAGATATCAACTGTTACAGAAATGAAATTAGATGGAAAATCTTAACAAACTGTTTTAACAAACTATTTTCTTAAAGAGACTTCCTCCACTGCCAGAGATCTCGAATAGCCTCCTGGTCTGTCATCTGGAAGCAATTCTTTACATAATTGATGAATTTGGCTTCCGCTTTGGGAAAAGAACCACCTTTTTCTATACTTGCTTGCATTTTTGCTTTAATGTCTTCTACAGAACTAGGTCCTTTTGGAGTTTTGGGAGTTTTTTTCCTGGTTTTTGAAAGATTCTTGTCCTTTCGATCATGGAGTTGATGGTTTAGAGTCTTCCATTCTGGTTTGACTTTTGTGCATTTTTGGCTGGAGTATCCTGTATAGATTTCTTCGCTGGTGCTTTTTCTTCAGCCTCATCATCATCTTCATCGTCATCATCATCATCATCATTGTCATCCTCTTCATTAGTGGCAAGTTTCACCTTTTTCCGTGGAATTTTGTTACCACCTGCAGGGGCAGATCTCTTTTCTGATATACTTAAGAGTTTCACATCCTCCTTCCTCTTCATCATCTGACTCTGCATCTTCCTCCACAGCTATTAAGTGTTGTCCACTTATATGCACAGGCCCTGAGCCACAAGACGACAGGTGGTGTTATTTCAAAGCCCCCAAGCGAAACCGTTGGCTGTACAGACATTTTCAAAGTTGCCAGTGTTACTTTAATTGGGCTGCCCTCATATTTCATTGCCTCTGCTTCAACAATGTGCAATTCATCCTTTGCACCAGCCCCTAAACTGACCGTTCTTAAAGATAACTGGTGCTCATTCTCATCATTATCCACCTTAAAGTGATAATCTTTGTCAGCTTTCAGTTCACAACCGAAAATGTAGTTTTGGGGCCACAGGGGGCTCATGTCCATATCCACCGAATCTTCCATGGGTTGGTGGTTCATGTTTATGTGGGAGAGGATGGCAATAAAACAGTACTGTTGCAGAGAACAGCTGTGCAGGACGGAATCACAGCAGGGCACTTGAATATGATATTAATGATATTGTTAGGTAATTTCTGCACTCTGTCGGGTCACTTTTCTTTGGAATGAGAACAAATATAGATCTCTTCCAGTCAGTTGGCCAGGTGGTTGTCCTTCAGATTTCTTGGCAAAACTTGGTGAGTGCATGCAGAGCAGCATCTGGTTTTTTAACTATGTCAATTGTATGCCATTGATTCCTGGGGCCTTATTTTTTGCCAATTATTTCAGAGCAGCTTAAACTTCTTCCTTCATCACCACAGGCAGGCTTTTGCTTATACATTGTTTCATGAAATTCTTCTGTGTCAGCCAATTCCTTTTGGTACAGTGACACTGTATACTCCTTCCATCTTCTTTTAATGCTTCCTGAATCATTTTATATTCTTTCCAAAACATCCTTAAGTATTGCAACTTGAGGCTTGAATTTGTTCTTCAGTTCATTTAGCTTAAGAAATGCTGGCCAAGTTTGGCCCTTTTGATTTTCTGACTCCAGTTCTTTGCACATTTCATTATACTTTGCTTTGCCATCCCGTGCTGCCCTTTGAAATCTTCTGTTTACCTCCTTAATTTCTTAAGGTCTTCCCTTTGCTTTGGCTTTTCAGTGCTCTAGTCCAGTACTCAGAGTCTTTTTTGACATCCATTTTGGTCTTTTCTTCCTCCTCTGCCTTCATAATGACCGTTTACATTCTTCATGGGTAATATTCTTGATATTCTCCCACAGCTTCATTCATTGGTGTTCAAGTCCTCAAACCTGTTCCTGAGATGGTTTTGAAATGCGAGTGGAATTCCACACTCTGTCGGGTCACCTTTTTTTTTATATATAAATGGGAATAAATATGGATCTCTTCTTTTTAAATTCTTCTGTGTCAGCCAATTCTTTTTGGTACAGTGACTCTGTATACTCCTTCTGTTTTCTTTTAATACTTCCTGGATCATTTCATATTCTACCCATAGCATCCTTAAGTATTAAACTTGAGGCTTGAATTTGTTCTTTAGTTTCTTTGTCACTTGTAACTCTGAACCCTGTAATCTCTGAATCCTGAGCCAATCTGACTGACTGTGACACACCTACTCCCATTACCCCAGTTACTTTGTCAGTCCTTCTCATCTGGGTTCTTCCTCTCCTGCACTAACCCTCCAAACTTCCAAGCATGATGTTCTTCTCCAGGCACTGGTCTCACCTGACTAAATGCCCAAAGTATGTCAGATGGAGCTTCCAAATCCTAGCCTCCAAGTAGAAACTCCCTCAACATCAAGAAAACAAAACTTACCACTGGGCCAATTGGCAGCATTATTATGGATAGTGAAGAGATTGAGATTGTTAACAGTTTTTGTTTTCTTGCTCGACAATCAACATTCTCAGTTCCAGCAGCCAGTAAATCAAGAGACAAATTTTCCAACTACCAGTCTTTATTTCCAACTTTTACATTCTAGTCACCATTTATTATGAATGCATTTTGGCTGAATGTTTTTTTTTTAAATTTTTATTTTATTATTTGTGTGTGTGCATGTACTGTCAAATCAGATCTGACTGGTACAGGAGATTGTCCCTCCTTTCCCAGCAGAGCATCTGGTGGATTTGAACCGTGCTCCTCTGGGATTGCAGTGCAGCTTCTTGCCACTAGGCCACCAGAGCTCCCCTTGGCTGAATGTTTGATCAATTTCAGGTTGCAAAAGTTTCTAAAAGTCCTCAGTTTCTTCATCTCTGACTCCAGTGGTTGGTGCACATATTTGAATATTTATATTAACAGATCTTCCTTGTATATATGTAGATAGTAGCCTATCTCAGCATTGTACTTCAGAATTGATCTTGATATGTTCTTCTTACTATGAATGTAATACCATTCCTCTTCATTTTGTCACTTCTGGAATAGTAGATAATGTTGGTGGTTGTGTCTGCCATCAAGTCGGAACTGACTCATAGTTGACCCTCCAGTGAGTTTTCAGAGGCAGTTAATTGCATGAGAGGAGATTGCTCATCCTCCCACCTGGTGCATTAGAAAGTACATGTGAATTTTCGGTACAGCTTCTTACCATTAGGCTAATTCAATATGACCAATGCCAGTCCATCTCAGTGCATTAACTCATACTTAGGATATGGATTTCATATGCATCTTATTTCATTTTTTACAACTACCAATTTTCCCAGATTCCAATTATTAATGGATGTTTGCAGGTGTTTCTAATTTTTAAAAAAATATTTTGGTAGGGCTAGTTAGATCTGTTTACTGCTGAGGTGGAAGTGACCCAAAGCTGACCCTCTATCAGGCTTACAGAGGCAGTTCATCAAATAGGAGATTGCCCATCCTTCTCCTGCAGTGGATTCACTGCCTCAGACAAATCCTAGTTCCCACTTTGGTGGATAGGTGGGGGATGGGGAGCCACTGAGAGCTCCCATGAAAACACAGGCGATTTATTTAACATGGAAAAAAACTAAACCTTCTCAAGCAAGGAAAAATACGCTGCTTTTGGTGACAGAGTTCTGCCTCAGAGAAGGAAATGCAAAAATTATTTAGTAAAAGATGCTTATTAAGACAGTTTGATCTGGGGAATATGTCCAAACCACAGACGGAAATAGTCACTTCATCAGCACTTGGAAAACAACCTAAGTCTTATATGTTGGAACACCTGAAACGTATAAAATTAATACCTGGCTGAAAGACAATCAGGGACTTTTAAGGTGAAGTAAGAGGACCTTTGCAGGGACAGGTGAATGAACAGATGAGACTGCCTGATTGCTTAAGGTACATGCCCTTCAGGCTGGTACAGAATGACCTCAGGATGTCAACGGGATAGGTGTTTCTTGTAACCCATTAGCAAGCTTGCCTGCTCAATCATGTGTCTATGGAGGTACATCAGGACAAGTGGGGCACAAGCTGCATCTTAAGACTATGAAAAAGACCTTAGGGAATAAATTGTGCTATCCTACACCATCAAAGTTCCTTATGTGTTATTTGCTAGGGAATATGTAACTTAACATTTTTTTTTTTAACATTTTATCACCATTTAATCACATTCAAATATCTTCACTCTTACCAATTCACCTATAAGTTTGTTGGGACAAAAACAGTAATTAAGTACCCTTTCTTCTCCGCTCCAGGATAGTATTATAAAGAAAACAATCATGTTGAAGATACTGCTAAACATTTTCCATA